TCACTCAAAAACTTTTTTCAAGATTCTAATAGAAATGAAAAGTCTAACCCCTACCCATAAGAGAAAAGACATTCGTTTTATAGCTAATTTAGGATGTCATTTATCCAAGAGGATATCACCGAGAAAGGGTGTAGAACCATCATTGAACAATGAGAGAAGTCTAAGTGTCTAACCATTGTGCTTGAGGCAGGTCGAGTGTTCGAAGCTGGTATGAGGAGGATGATGATGAATGAAGTGTCTAACCATTGTTCAATGGTCAACATCCCATGGGATAGGTCTCTAAAATAGAACCATATCATCCTTCATACGCCCCTAGAGGTGAACACAAATGAGAGAAACGTCATTTTAGAATGTTTTTACCACCGCCATTCTATGAGAGAAAGATAATGCTCAATTGAATCTTCTTTTCGATTGTTTGTCAAATTGATTATATTGGTAATTTCTTCCCACTAAATGGTCAAATTGAGGATATTAAAAGGTAGCAAAAATTTCACAATTAATATACTACTCCCTCCGTCCCAAATTGTTTTGCAAAGTCAACATTTTTTGGTCAACCAATAATAAAAGTCAAACCTCCTTATCGATAAATAACTCAATTTTTAATAAATAAAATTTACATATTCAGAAACTACATTAAATTCTCTTTAAAATTGAAAACTTCAAATTAGAATATAATTAAAAATTAACATCCTAATTAAGCAAATAAAATGAAACTGTTTGACCAAGAAAAGTCAAATTTGCAAATCAATTCGGGACGGAGGTAGTAGTACACAATTAGGCTTGTCAATGGGTCGGGTCTAGACCCGGACCCGACCCGGACCCGGTTGTTTTTAACGGGTATGGGTCCTTATTTTATTCCGTTTACCCGGACCCGAACCCAGACCCGTTAGTACTTTTAATAAACGGGTCGGGTATGGTACTTATGATTCCGACCCGTTAAGGACCCGGACCCGTTTAAAATTTCTTATTAGTATTTATACACACACACTAATACATAAAGAGATTAGTTATAATACTTCAAATAAAAATACAAACTAATATATATAAAGTGATTAGTTTTAATTCTTTGATTAAAAAGAAACAAATTAATACATACCTAATGTATACGTGATAATATAATAGTACGTAGTATTTAATATGCTTTTAGTCCAAAAGAACTTTTTTTGACCTAATTTCTAGTCTAATATACGAGCTTTATGTGGGAGAGAAAGAGACACAAAGTGCGGAATTGTACGCATCTACAAGAACCGATATTTTATTGAATAAAAGTACTAATTTTCTATGATAAACCTTGATTTTTTTTTAAAAGTGAAGATATATTTTGCTTTTAAATTTGTGCACTTTGATTTACATTTCATATACATGTTTTACTATTTTTAAAAAATTATATAATGTTCTGTCAAAAAAAAAGTTATATAATGTTGTGCATATGATACTTGGCGGGTCTACCCGACCCGGTTCTGAGACCCGTTGGGTCCGGGTCCGGGTCCAAATTTTTAGACCCGCCGGGTAAACGGGTCGGGTCCGGGTCCTTTATTTACTTAGCGGGTCCGGGTCTGGAACACTACATTTCGACCCGGACCCGACCCATTGACAGGTCTATACACAATAACAATAAAAACTTCCTACGAAAAGATATATGCAACAAGTTATAAAGAATGAATACGGTAATTAATAAAATTAGGTAAGAGAGCTTTAGTTTTTAACTACACTTATATTGTTTTTAGTTGGGCTGAACTTTTCTGATATGGTCTGATCTAGCCTGATCAGATCTATGTAAGTCTGGTCTGATTCGATATAAATCGATTTAGTTTGATCTAGTAAGGATGTTTTCTTTTGGACTGAAATTTGCTGGTCTGGTCTGGTCTAATCTGAACTGATCTATTCTGGTCTAGTAAACGTCTGGTCTCTGTATATTTTGTAACTTTGAAAGTCAAGTCTGGTCTGGTCTGGTCTGGTCTTGGACTGAAAACAGTCCAAAAGAAAACATCACAAATGCATGATAATGGTGTATTTTACGGGTTTATTTGAGTCTTGTATAATCTATTTTGGTCTGATCTTGGACCAACAAGAACATTCCAAATAAACATATCCTTATTTGATTTATGTTTGTGGTTTTAAAATGTAACGCCCATCCATTTGACAAAAACGAGAACAATTTTGTTCACCCTCATTTGAGAGGGTTATGTTCACCCCTACCCCCACCCCTATTTGCCTGCCATGTGGCAAGGCAATACTTTACAATTTGGCAATTGTTTTATCTTTTTCTTTTTAAATAATTTTTTTTTAAAAAAATATATCAATTTTTTTCTTCTTTTACGATCTTTCATATGATACTAATATTGCATATAAAAAATTAAAAAAAAATCAACTAAAAATAGATATTTGGAAATAAATGATTTTTTTCAAATTTTTATATATACAAAATTGATACCATTGGAGATCATAAAAAATTAAAAAAATCTGATATGTTTTTTTTATAAAAAATAGACTATAAATAAAAAAGTTTTAACATTTTAAAGAAAAAATGGGATAGAATAACACATGACAACCTTAGAGCAAGGGAGTTATGTTCACCCTCCTTAGTGGGGGAGTACAAAATTGCACTCGACAAAAACAGTCCAATTTTGGGTTGTGGCGTTAAAGGCTGATAGACACAACAAAAAGTCATAATACTTGAACTTAAATATTCATGTACGTACCTTGAATTCCTAAATAACCGAGGGAAAAAAAAAAAGCATTCCTAATCTTGACTCGCATACAACACCTAAATTCCTAATGCATTGAAAATGCAATTAAAGAAAGTAACGAGAAATGGTGGTTGTAGCACGCAAAGTTTGATTGCATTTACTTTAATGATAGCAACTAAGACCGGTTAATATTAATGTCGCTATATATTTATGAAGATATTCTACCAAGTTAATTGAATACTTTTTAGGTAGATTCTATGGTACCCATAAGGTACCGTACCTTTGTCCACATGGACCAATTAGAATCATGCAGTTGAATTATTTAAATCTAAATTAAAAGGGATTTAATGATTTGGACCAATCAAATGCATGGTAGGTACGGTACCCCATTTTTTAAATGGATACCGGAGTTCTCACCTACTTTTTATATCTTATGAGTAATATCGCTCTGTTACGTCAGAATCATACTGTGCTAGAGGAATTGGAGTTGGTAACACATTTTTCATCAAACACGTCGAATGACTATTTGGTGATCCATACATATAGAATATATTATTATATTTTATCGTCCATATAAAATATTTTTTCATCATGATTTTTTATTTCACGTCAAAATGTATAATAATCAAAACAAGTAAGATTTGAGTTACTTTTAACTGAATTAATTTAACTAGGTAGAAGATCATTTTAATACTTTTATACAAATTTTTCTTTATTTTATTAACATAATATATTTCAAATATAATAATTTTAGAATTCAATGGATGCACCCCATTCATTTTTTTTAACTAGAACCTAGTCACTTTTAGCAAAATCTTTTGATTCAGTTAGCTAAAGACGCTCTAAAATGGAAATAAGAATATTAAAAAAGAGATGGGATTAATACCGATTTACATAATTACATACATCAATCAATAAAACTCCTAACCTGTAATTAAGTGGGTTGACTCATTCTGAATTTCTGACTGGTGAAATTAACTCATCAAAGATAAAAATCCTAAACCGTAATTAAGTTGGCCCGCTTAATAATTAGTGAAACCAATTAGCCACCAGTCTTCCTGGGTTGAGTAGACCTATTTTACAGCTATAATAATGGAATAGAAATGGTGAATCTCAATATTGAGTTTAATGGCTCAGGGGTCGAAACTCAACCTATATACAGAACGAAAATGGTGAATCATTTTTAAACAATGTCTGAGTTTAATATTTCATATGCAGTTTAGATAAATAGGACTCGTAACAATAAAATAGATTGTCTTTGCTCTAATTTTGAGTCGTGTCACGTAAATATTGAGTAAATTATACCTTATTTTTAAAATTTGGGAAAATAATCTATAGTTTGCATCACATTTTGTTTTTTTATACGTTTAGATAGTGCTGATTTTCAAGAAGTCATAACTTTTTACTCGTAATGAGTTACGGGGGCCATAATATATCAAATCGAAGATATTTCATAGCTCTATACACTCAAACTTTCAGAGGGGTCGGCTGACCACCCTGACCCCCCTTGGCTCCGCCCCTGGAAATGACTCAATATAAGATCGATAAGGCCTAAAGTAGGATGAACTGATGAAGTGTATTTACCAAAGAGAGAAGTACAAAATAATCAATATCTTCAGGTTGTGGTCAGGGACTATATTAGGCTACGGTCGACTCCAAATTTCAAAATACTTTGAATTTGTGTGTACAAAATGATCATGTAACAATATATCTGGAAAAAATATCATGTACAAAATGATCACGTAACAATTTATTTGTAAATATTTATTGTACCGGCCAACGGGCCAGGCTAGTATACCCTAGTGACTACGAGTCCACAACACTCAATAAACTCAAGGTATTTGAACTCACAAAGGGAGTATCAAAGGTGCTCAAAGCAAGTGTACTCACATGCCCACATTTGCACCATGCATTAGGATTACGTACTAATCATATATATTCTGCGTATCTCACATGAATTATGATAGACACGAACTATTTGATAGATTGACCGCAATAAACTGTCTATTACACCAACATTATTTGATAGACCACATTTAACAAGGAATGACGAACTAGATCTTTAACAATGCATATATAAGCTACTCCTGTTATCAGATTGAACTTTTAATAAAATGAAACATATCACATGACTTAATATAGTATTCGAGCAAATTAAGCTCAAACGATCCTTATAAGCCTCAACAATGAGCACACATGTTAGGAGTGTACTAAACTATCCCGCACCGGTTGCGTATAAAAATACAAACAACATATAAAGCCATAAACGACTATACTCATTTTTAGGATAAAACTCCATTACTCCAAGACTTAATACGAACAAATATTGTATTCGAGTTTCATCACTATCAAAGTTCATAGTCTTATTATTTATTACGTACATTAGTATAGCTTTAAATATATTACATTACTGGTAGAAAAGTTTGGTAATCGGCTAAGCCATATAGCCTGATCATAGGCCAACCTTGTCAATGGTTAGTTAATTACCCCCGATCAACATCAATAAAATAATAAAAACAACATAAATATGATAATACTTTAATGAGCTTTATATATAGGCCAGAGTAGGTTTGTGAGTATAGCAAAGCTAAGCCCGGCCCAATTCGTGAAGGGGATCACATTTTTTGAGAAAAAAAGTCAACCTTCACTTCTTAGAGCCGTTGACCCTTTGGTCATGGAAGAAATCAAGCAAGACGGAGCTTTTGCACTTGGGGCATTTTGGATGTTCGGGCGCCAGCATAACGTACATGAGGCATCTAGGGCAGCCCACAAGCTTCATCGAACCGCCCTCCACGGCAGCGGCGCTGCTTCCGTCGTCGTCCCCCGCCGGGCTCGGGTCCCATGACACGCACGAGCTCGGTGATGACAGCTTCATGGAAAGAGGAGACGATCTTAGCGGTGACTGAGGACTGGTGGCGGCTTGCGGCGGAGATAAGTTGAGCGCCAATTCCAGCTTTGCACCCTCTTTGTTAAAGTTCATCTCTATTTTCTTCCTATTCTTTTCTTGCTGTTTAATTTTCCCTTTTGAACAAACCAAAGGTGTATATTTATTTATGAACAAAGCAATGCAAATGGAAAGAAATACAGGTTTAGGTCAACAATCAAAATAAAAACTAATACGACCGGCCACAATATGATAAGAAGAAAAGTCACATCAAAGTATTAATTATCAGACGTAGTCTATATAGTTCCTCTTTCGAAATGAGTTGTTTGCATGCGCGGTTATGTTTATATTAATTGTTTGCTTAATTTCCAAAATTGGTAGTTGTTGTATGCAACTATGCAAGATATTGGTGGGTACATGTAATTAAGTCTTTTAAATAACTTTAAAACTGAGATATGAAAAAAGAAAATTAAAAAATGGACAAGAATAAGCCTAATTATTAGTGTTCTTATCGAAATAGTCTAAAATATCAAAATTTCTTCAACGACTTCTCAAAGTAATCCCAATTATTCAAAAAAAACTTCTCAAAATAATCCAATTACTTAAAATAACGCGTAAATGACTTATAATATTTAGGAGTCAGTGAAGCATTTTGAGAATTTTTTCATTAGTTGAGATTATTTTGAAATAATTGATACTTTGAATTATTTCAAAAAAATCAGTAATAGTTGGAATTGTTCTTATCCATTTTTCATTTCAAAAATAGTTTTTGGAAGATGAACTCACTTGAGAGGCTTATTATAAAATAATTATTAAAAATAGAAAATTCTCTAAATAGAACTAAAATAAGGATAAAATTCATAAATAGGACTTATATTATTTTATTACCAAAATATGACTTATTTACTCCTATTTTTTGAAATTTCAACTAACTTATTCTTTTAGTTGATTACATAAATCCTATTTGGGGAATAAAAATTAGTACGTAATACTTATCCTTATGGTAGATGAAGGCAGCGGGGATGACGATGAAAAATTGTATAATAAAAAAGGAGGGAAAGGTGTAAATATACCCCTAGAATATATGTGGAGTTGCATATATACCTCTGAATTTCTAAAAGGTGTAAAAAAGCAAATTTACCCTTATAATTGACTTTAAATAAATAAAATAAATTTTAAAGAAATGCAAAAAATAAATTATAAATTCAGAATTCAAAATTGAAAAATAAAAATAAAAAATTCTACTTGTGTCCAATTACCCCTTTTATTATTTTTATACCACAATTTCATATTGTTGGTATATATAAAAAATTGTTTCAAAACTTTAATATATATTTATGATTCTTTCGGAAAAGTGTTATCATATGTATTTCAATGTAAAAACATCATAAGTTTTTGTATTCTTTGCACTATTCATGATGATAAATAGTCCATGATTACATAGTAAATTTAACTTTATTAATAAGTTTAAACAGAACCAAAGATTGTTATTTCAAAAAATGTAACAATGTGTTCAAAATTTCGCAACAAGACTAAATTAATATTTATGAATTTGAAGTGCTTCGTTTACAATGGAAAAATAATAATTTTGAAATTTAAAATTAAAGAATTAATATTTTAAAATAAAAATAAATCTTTATTTTTAACTCTTTAACTTTTTATTTTCAATTTCAAAATTTAAATTTATAATTTATTTTTGTTTGTTCTTTTTTAGTTATTCTATTTATTTAAAATCAATAATGGTAAATTTACCCCTTTATAGAGAAAATATAATAGAGGTATTATTTCACCTTTTAAAAGTTCAGGGGTGTATTTTCACATCCACATATACTAGTATATGTGAAAATGCAAATATACCTCTTTCGAGGTTTTGTCCCGTAGATCCGAAAGTCCAACACACGCTTTGGATATTTAAGGATCTTGGTCTTCGTGTAGAAACGAGTATCAAATATAAAACAATGAATTATAAGATCTAAATCAGAAGCCAAATGTATTACATAATTCTGTGGTTACAAAGTAACTGCCCGAACAGTAGGTCAGTGTGAGTTTAAATACAACACAAGAGATGATTCTATTGCTAAGCTCTGATTATTAAGCACAGGTATTTATACTAGAGAGGAGATGGGTGAGATGGACACGTGGCCGAATCCGGTAGGCTGTTACCTCTGCCACGAATGCATTCATGCCTCTACTTGCTATTGCCATAATTCAGCATTAAATGCGGCTTCCACTTGCTGACTACCCGTTCGGGTAGTGCGTTCGGCATGCGGGTGCCCTTTGCCGGTGTTGGGATGTACATACTTTGTTTGATTGTCTCAAGTGAACAAATCTACCTGATTACTGTTTAGGTATCTCCCGTTCGGGATGTCTTGGGCTTTTCTGATCACGTTGGGTTTCCTGCTTGCCCTTTGGGCCGGGTGTATTGGGCTCGGGCCCAATACCCCAACACGAGTCCCCCACTTCCTATGTCTCGAACAGTAGTGAGTGCATAAGAAAGTAGAAGAATATTGCCCGAACGCTGCTCGGGCATGTGGCGGGCGGGATTTCGCCAGTTCCCGAGGCATAGTTTTGACAGTTTTCTGCGGCTGCCATTTTAATTTCCCGATAATCGTTATGATTACTTGTTGGTGTTTCCCCGCGTGACACGTCTCCCTGTAATCATTTTCGTCGAAGTGTCCTCTCTTGATTGGTTGACGAACCGGCGTGTCAGTTTATAAATAAGCCCTTCATTCTTTGGTTCTGGGTTTCCAAAATTTTACGTTCTTCGTGCTGCAGCTCTGCCTTCTCTCTAGAGCCTAGTTGTTGGTAGTGTTCAGGTATCCTTCGCCCCTTCGTTTTTTCTCCCCTCTTGTTCGGTAACTGACCGGGCTAAACTTGCAAGTGTACAAGTGCCGATATAGTAATAAATTCCGATAAAATATCGGGTCGAATCCACAGGGAAACGTTGTTTAATTCAAGTTCGAGAGTAGATAACTTTAAATATTGAAATGAGTAAAGTGCAGGGATTTTGAGTTGTGTTTTATATTTTTGGCTTTTCACTTTTAATTCAAGGAAATAACCTTGATTAATTCGGATTTAAGATGAATGATAACAATGGCTAAGGCTTCGGGAATCACTTAAATGCTTTAATAGGGTTGAATATTAGTTCTTTGCCAATAATTATGAATACGATGTCGCTAATATATTCTCAACTCCGGTTAAGGCAGCGAGAGCGTGGTTTCGTTACGTGTAAGTCCCGTTACGGCTTACATTCATCTACCGAAAACCCCGTTGAATATCAAGACATCACACCCGTATCATATAATACTGGATATATTTTTATTCTCGGTAATATAGATGTTTATCCTTTTATGTTCATAGTTTAGACTTCAACGTTAATTGCAAGCATAAACTAAGTTTAACATACTTCTATGTTGTACACCATAGTCATAAACAATCAAAATGTAAAGGATAAATCACAATTTATTGGTTTAGAACTTTTATCAAACAACTAGTGGGCAAAGAAGTTCATCCCTAGCCTTAGCTAAGAACTTAGCCTCTAATGCTCATATTAATTACAAAAGTGTAACTAAGAAAAAGGAAATACAATAACATAAAAGAAATAATACCTAGAACCAATTGTAGAGGAGAGAAATGGCTTCTTCTCCAACACTTCAAGAGAATGCAAAAAGAAAATATAAAAACTAAAATTTTAGCTTCAAGGATGGATTGATGATCTTGTTTGATGAATTGGGGGCTTTACATAGGCTAAAGATTGACATCTTTTAGTCTATTCAAACCCAACAATCAGGCATGGAAGATATATTTGATCATATCATAAGGAAAGTTGAGTTTTCCCATCAAAATATGGTTGCACGTCTTTGTGTTTTATGCAGATTCGGGCTTAACCGGCGCCGGTTTTAGGCTTGACCGGCACCGGTTTTACTTCGGGGCTGGAATAACACTGAAAAACACCATAAACGGCGCCGGCTATAGGGGAAAACCGGCGCCGGTTATATTTCGGCCGACCGGGAAAATGGCAGATTAAATGCAACCGGCGCCGGTTTGGTGAAATTCTGGCGCCGGTTTTGTCTTGGGATTTTGGGGATGTTCCGCGCTGAATTTGGACATGGGTCCTTCACCAAAGTTGTAGCTAATGAAGTCTTCTATCCACCAAAACTTGAACGAAGTGATTTTAAACATCCAATCAAAAGTTATGAATAAAACACTGAGAGGTATGCATCCTGAAATCCCACCAGCAACATCTGACTTTATTGGTTGATTGATTCTTGTTCCTTTCATATTCTGGCCATGACGTCTTCATAACATTTGTACCTTATTAAGTTACCATTCACATGAAATTCGAATCGAGTGATTTCTAGTTCTCTACAATAAGTTATACTCGAATTATGGGCAGAACGTCATTCTCTTGGTCCAAAAAGTCGGTCATCGCAATATTTTATGCTCTAGCTCTCATTCTGGAGGTATTTGCCCGATTTCTCTACTTTTCTTCAACGCATACTTATAAATACTTATGTTAAACACAAGTAAATATAACGGCTATCAGTAACATGTCGTGTCAATCATCCTCCTCCGATCCTTCCGTTCCTGAGGTGGTTCCTCATGGAGAAGTCCAAGGCGACGCTGTAGAGAATGCGGAAAATTCCGGCCATGTTCCCGGCGACGCCTCCTTCCCACGTACTTACTCGGATGGCACTAGGTCCGGTGATGAGCTTGAGTCTATGGAGGCTGGCCCTCCAGGCGATGTTCCTCATCACAAACTTGACTTAACCCTAATTCGGCTACAACGACAAAAGCTCACAGGCCCAAATAGGGCCCTAATCCCAACCTTGATTCCTTACCCGGTGGACTTCCATCTTCAAGCTGGGCTTCACCCCATGCGTCATTTCCCCGGGATGGTGGTAGTCCATTTGGACTCGGTGAAAGCCGGCCTTAGATTCCCGCTCCACCCCTTTTTCGTTTCTTTATTTAATTTTTACTATGTAGTACCGGCCCAAATTATGCCGAATTCCTACTGGGCTATGGCCGCTTTCATTTGCCGCTGTGTAGATGTTAAAGTAACGCCCACCCTAGATCCCTTCCACTACTTCTTTTCAGTAATTCCTCAGCAGACCCATGGGTATCTATTTGTAAGTGCCCGATCGGGTCATATTTTATTTTCTGATGCCCCCTCCTCCATCAAA